AGTGGGGAGAAAGGGAGGGTAGCAAGGTTTGAAAAATTACCTATTGGGTACTATGCTCACTACCTGAGTGACAAGATCATTTGTACAGCAAACCTCAGCGACATGCAATTTACCCATGTAACAAATCTACACATGCACCCTCTGAACCTAAAATAAAAGTTAAGGAATGTGTTAATATTATGTGGTTAATAACAACATTCTTTCTAAGGTAAATAAACTTAATAGGTTTTCGCCTTGCAATCATACCCAATACTATAGAATCCACACTTTGCTGTCTCTTCGTTTTCTAAAGAAATAAAACTTTCGTTGTCCTAAACAGGAATCCTGAAATCTCATGATGAATGAGGACTTAAAATTTGGAATGCAAATATTCTTGAGTAGGTCTAAGATTAATGCCTTTTGCCCAGTGAATTATATTTTACTGATGTTTGTTTAGCCCAATGTCCTTATTTTCTGATAATAAATATATTTTAATGCACATTAGTTGCCCAACAAATTAATATTGCTTTAGTGCAGCAGCTCAGCATTTGCCATGTCTGTTTATAAAGTAACCTTTGAAGGAAGGGTTGATTTTTGACAACGTTGGCCTGGCGATAAGTTTGGCATAGTTAAGACTCACCTCAGAACAAAACTGCACCCATTCATATAATCTCTGGTGACTGCATAAACAGGGCCAGGTCTCTAGGTCCAGAAGCTACGTGGTAGGAACAGGCATGAGAGTAAAATCAGCTTTTGAATTTCAAATCCCCAGCTGGTGACCAGACACGCATTCAATTACCAGCCTTAACCAGTGTGCTTTTAACAACTGTGTTCAGACTTCCTTTCACACTCCCAAAGAAAGCATTCATCATTTAAGTTTTGTGTGATCATGAGAAGAATAACATGATCCCAATCTAACCAGAACATGCCAGACAATTTCCAAATTAGGGACATTCTCATAACACCTAACCAATTCTTCTGCAAACCGCCAGTCATCAAAAAACACACAACATCTGAGAACCAGCCATAGCCAAAAAGAACCCAGAAAGTCACGATCACTAAATGCAACACGGTGTCATCCTGGGTTCCGGGACAGAAAAAGAACAATAGGAGCTGAAAATGTAAGTCTACACCAAACCTGCACATGCATGTTTATAGCAGCTCTATTCATCGTTGTCAAAATTTAGAGGCATCCAAAATGTCCTAGATGAATGAATAAATGAACTTGGGTACATCCAATCCATGGAATTTTAGTAGTAGGTGAATGAATAAAGGGACTTAGATATATCCAATCATTGGAATTTTATCAGCACTTAAAAGAAATGTGCTATCAAGTTATAAAAAACACAGCGAAACCTTAAATGCATATTACTAAGTAAAAAGTCAATATAAAAAGGTTACATAATACTGTATGATTCCAACTATATGACATTCTTAAAAAGACAAAACTGTGGAGACAGTAAAACGATCAGCAGTTGTCAGGGGTTGTAGGGGATGGAGTGGTAAGTAGGCAGAACACAGAGAATTTTTAGGGCAGCCAAACTATTCTGTATGATACCATAGTGGTAGGTATTGTCATTATACCTTTCTTAGTTAATTGATATTATGCATGTCATTATACATTTCTCAGAACTCAAAGAATGTACAGCACTTGGAGTGAACCTAATGGAAATGATGGACATTGGGTGATAATGACATGTTAACACAGTTTTATTACTTACAGTAAATGTACTACCCTGGTTCATGATGTTGAGGGTGGGGGAGACTGCCTGCATGTGGCGAGGGGTACATGGAACTTTTGATACTTTCCACTCAATTGTGCTATGAACATAAAACTACTCTAAAAAATAAAGTCTGTCAATAATAACACTAATAAAAAACTAGAACAATAGGTAAATTCTAAGCAAGTCTGAAGAAAATATGGACTTCAATTGACAACAATGTATCAATATTTGTTAATTAGTTGTGACAAATGTACCATAGTAATTAACAGGTAAATAGGGAACCCACGTGAGAAGTGGAATGATAACTATCTTTGCAATTCTCTGTAAACCTAAAATTACTCTAAAACTTTAAAAAAAATTTTAAAGGGGCAGAGAGAGGAGAGTTCCACAATTTATCAATGTATGGGTACATTGCCTCATTTGCGGTGGCCTCCAGATAATTCTTCTCTAATTGTGTTTCAGACACTGTGCTTGGTCCGCCTAAGCCTTGGCTCCGCATCCATCCCATGAGGACCTGGGCCAACTTTCCTCCTGGGGTTCTCGTGAAATGGGCCTTTATGTACTCATCCCCAGGAGTTACAGAGCACCTCTGTGCTGGGAGCATGGGGGAGGCGGAAGGGCCTGAAGCTACTGGAAACTGCTATGCACCGCATGGCCAGGGCTCCGTGTCCTCTGCTGTCTCCCCAGAGCCATTGTAAAAGGACATCGTTTCCTAAGTTCATGGAGATGTGAGGAAAGCTTGGGGAAACAGCCTTAGCGCAGTGCCCAGCACACTGTAAGCTCATTGGAGGAAGCGTGTATTTCTTCCTGTGGACGTCCATGAAGGCGTGGAGTAGCATGCAGAGCGTCAGGAGCCTATGACACCAACAGAGAGGGGCTCGCACTGGAGCCTGGCCTCGAAGGATGAGGTGGTATGTGCCAGGCAGAGTGGGTCGGGAAGGGGATCCCAAGTGCAGGGAACAGCAGAGGCAAAGGCAGTCAGTGGGCGTGTGCATGGAGTATCTGCAAATGATGGGACAGGGTTTCAGTGTGGCCAGATTGCAGTGTGTGTGTGCGTGTGTGCGTGTGTCTGTCCCTGTGTCCCTGTGTGTCAGTGTCTCTGTGTGTGATTCTGTGTGTGTGTGCCTATGAGCATGTGTGTGCATGTATCTATGTGTCAGTGTGTGTGTCTCTGTGTGTCTACAAGTGTGTGGTGTCTTTGTGTTTGTGTGTGTTTGAGTGTGTCAGTGTGTGTTTGTGTGTGTCTTTGTATGTGTATCAGTGTGTATGTGTATTTATGTGTCTGGGTGTGAGTACCTGGAAATGAGGTTGGAATGGCAGCATGAGCCAAGGAGGTGACTGCCCCCCAGCCTGCTCTGATGCTGTGCCGCTGAGTCTAAAATGGAAAGAGCAAAGCGGACGCTGGGATGAGAGTCACAGGAAGGGGAAGGGCCCCAAGGAGCCAGTGGGGAGGGTGCAGTGTCACCTGGCAAAGCTCGGAGAAGCACTTCCCAGAAAGACCCCGGAGCCCGCATGTTTCCTTGTAAATATGTTTTGTGTTCCAACTGCAATCTGCCTCCAAAGAATCTGCCTGCCTCCCAAGGATCAAGTAGAATTTTCCATTTGGTAGGAGACTCCCATTGTTGAGCAAAGCAGCTTTGCCTTGCCTATGTCCAAATAATCCTCCAAAATACTGCATGAGAGAGCCCGTTCGTGGAGGTCAGGGCCTCAGTGGGGTGTTTGTGAGGATAGTGAGGATGGACACTTGGGTGAGGCAATTTTAGGAGAGAGGCACACAGCTTCAGACAGGGCTGCTTCTGACACATTCATGCAGAGACTGAGCCTCTGAGTGAATCAGTCAACGTCTATAGCTATGACCATGGAATTCTCAAACAGGTGGATCGTTCATAAAATCCAAACACAGTTACAAGTTTTGGCCTGCATATCGTTGAGCTACAACTTTATTTTTAGAAAATTTTAATTAGGTGTCAACCAATTTCATATAAACACATCTGGATTTCGGGACGTCACTTTAAAAATCAGAAAGTGTGACAATACTGAACCTAATCCCTGCATTTTTTCAGTCCATTGGCGATGAGTGTTGACCTCTACAGAGGCAGAGACTCTCTAGTTTGCCGCAGTCCCCATCACTCCCTATTGCCTTATCTCAAACCCAAAAGTCAGTTGCCAGTTAATATCACACTTAAACAATAGTTTTCTTATGGCTGAATTAAGGAAAGGTGAACAATTTCTTGTTCTGAAAAGTCTATGAAAGGTGAGGTGATAACATATAATGAGGGCCACATCTTCCCTGTAGAAGTGAGTTTCTTTTTAAATGCTTCATATGTAAATAATAAATGTCTGTTTTCAAAGAATACAACTGAAGACCTTATTATGAGGCAAAACGATTCTGCTCCACTTTATGTTAACAGCTTAGCCCAGTAAAAATTTAGTACACAGCTCTAAAGGAGATGTTGTTATTGTCAGCACACTGCAAATGGATGATGGCAGAGGCTCAGTGGTTAGGGCATAGCACTCAGCTAAACACATGCTGTGGCCAGGATTCCACCGGGGTCATTCCGGTGTGAGACTGTGCCTGTAGCAGGCAGGGCAGCCTAAGCTCTCCGAATGAGACCTGAAGGTAAATATTTTCAACAGTAATCTTATATTAAAAATTCCCTCTTTACCAGCCTCTTGGAGCCTCGTAGAATCAGGGAATTTCCCTACTTCTAGAATCAGGGAATCCTCTGCTTATGTGGTAACTTCAGATGGAAAAAGGAACTCAGACACTAAGAAAGCTTCGGTAACTTCAGTCACCCATTCAACAAATATTTATTGAGAGTGGCAGGCAGGAAGAGATCAGACCATGGACGTAGAGAATCTCACATTTAATTTTGAGATCTTCCTTTTCCTGCCTCTGTGAACTTGGACAAGCTATCGCATATCTCCAGAACCAATTCCTGGTTTTGTAAAAGAGGAAGAATCATTGCATTCCCTACTAGAGCGGATGTGATGAGGGAAAAGGAGAAATCAGGTAAAATGGGCTCAGTAGTTTGGCAGCTCAGATCATGTCATTATTGTTATTTTACTTCTCCATAGACATCACTGCTGGGGTCCTCTCCCCATCAAGGAGGGTCATTGCAAGGCTGAGTTGTCCTCCTATCCTGGCCACAGGGTGGACAGGGAAGGGCCTAGAGGAAGCGTTTAATGGCATGCAGGTAACCCCCCCTTTTCACTGGATTACATCCAGCACTTTCCCTGCAGGAACTGGCTCCCTTGGAGGGGCGTGACTGGGAGGAGCTGTGAGTAAGGTGCCATAGTGTTATAAAAACCCAGTGAGTGTTGTAAAAACCCAGTCAGCCTGCCTCCTGTTGAATAGTCCACCCTCCTTGCACTCCACCTGAGACAGCTGCAGCCTGCAATTCACTCCCACCTCCTGGGATTGCACTGGATCGGTGTGCTCAGAACAAGGTAAAAGCCTTGCTCCTTTAACAGCTTTATTACCTGCCACCACTTATCACTCCACCAAGGGCCTGGAGTTCCTTGGGCCTGCATTCCATCATGGGCAGGTGGGGGCTGAGCCCCACGTCCGTGAGAAATGACTGGGTGTTTTTCTGGCATATCTCATCTCCTCTTCACCATTTATTGCTGTTCTCTGCCCTTTTGTGATTGTCTTTCTCCTCCTTAACCCTAGAAGATGGCCAACTTCTAGGGTAGAAATCAGATCAGGACCATTTCCTGGGCCTGCCTCTTTTTATAAAAATTCTGTGCTTTGTTTTAAATGGAGCACAAATAATACAAATCATACAAATAAAACAAATTATGTGTTATAACAAACTAAATTGTCATCATTCATAGTTGTTTTTCTTATTCTTTGGCAATGTTTTTAAAGGGCAGAGTAAATGTGAAAAGCAAAAAGGGATCAATCAGGGGTGACAGAAAAGAATAAGGAGATTGATCTGGCTACCCATACCAGCTTTGAACTTGCCCACTATGAGATCCTGAGCAATTTATTTACCTGTCTGAGCCTTAAGAGTCAGAGCTGTCACCCGGGATGACATATTAATAGCTAACTGGAAGGGCTCTTGCGTGGATTTAGCAAGGTGGGAATCAAACCCTAGACCAGTACTTAGCATATAGGAGGTGTCATATAGAAATTGGCTTCTCTTCTCCTGTTAAGCATGGGTTTTTAATTGTACACATGATCAGATCCATGTAGTTCAGTGTGACATTGATGTTCATCCTATTGATTCAATGATTTCTCATGATCCTTGTCTTCGATCTTGTAGTGTGAACTATCTGGTTGAAATTCACCTGTCTCCATCCTGGTTCACTTTGTGCAGGCAAATCAGATCACCACCACACCTTACACCTTTCCTTAAACTCTTACTTCCCCCAAAAAAGCTCCCCCACCCCCACAAACCCAGCCACCCCACCCAAACCCCAGGCATGTTCAACTCTGGGTCAACATCACCTTTCATGACGTTTACCACGTCCTTTCTCATTTTGGGCATCTGTCACGTCTTTTCTCATTTCGGGCATCCATGCCCATATGGAGTCAGGAGATAGAAATCCAGCGCTTTGGAGCTGAAAGAAAGTTTGGAGCAGTAACTTGTTTCAGATCAGAGACAGAGATGATGAGATAGATTCCCTGATCAATGCTATTTAAATTCTGCCAAAGAGTGGCCTCTAAGCTCTTTCAAGCCTGAGACTTTCTCAATCATGGTGATTTCTTCAACACCTAGTCTAGTGCGTGGCATATAGTAGGTGCTCAGTAAATGCTTGTTAAATGAGTGAATGAAAGAGTGAAGAGTGAGCAAATGCAGGAGTTAATGAGTGCGTAAATGATAAATGAGAATTCGTGAGGCTCCAAAGAGTGGTAGTTTTGTGATACTCAAGACTCAAGTCAAGTGGAAATGTGAGTAGACAGGCTGTTTGTCTAGTGACTCCAGGAGCCAGAAGTGTTCTTGGTCTACTCTGAAATCAGGCAGGTACCTGTCAGGGTAGGGGGAGGCCAGTGTGTAGTCCTGCATAGCTGAACTGCTGCCTGCCACTGACTCACCTGCCTTTTGTCAAACAGGTGCCCGCCCAGTTGCAGCCATGAGGATCCGTAGCCTCACCCTGCTCTCCTTCCTCCTACTGGCTGCTCAGGTGCTCCTGGTGGAGGGAGAAAAAAAAGTGAAGAATGGACTTCACAGCAAAGTGGTCTCAGAACAAAAGGACACTCTAGGCAACACCCAGATTAAGCAGAAAAACAGGCCTGGGAACAAAGGCAAGTTTGTCACCAAAGACCAAGCCAACTGCAGATGGGCTGCGACTGAGCAGGAGGAGGGCATCTCTCTCAAGGTTGAGTGCACTCGATTGGACCATGAATTTTCCTGTGTCTTTGCTGGCAATCCAACCTCGTGCCTAAAGCTCAAGGATGAGAGAGTCTATTGGAAACAAATTGCCCGGAATCTGCGCTCGCAGAAAGACATCTGTAGATATTCCAAGACAGCCGTGAAAACCAGAGTGTGCAGAAAGGATTTTCCAGAATCCAGTCTTAAGCTAGTCAGCTCCACTCTATTTGGGAACACAAAGCCCAGGAAGGAAAAAACAGAGATGTCCCCCGGGGAGCACATCAAGGGAAAAGAGACCACCCCCACTAGCCTAGCAGTGACCGAGACCATGACCACCAAAGCTCCCGAGTGTGTGGAGGACCCAGATATGGCAAACCAGAGGAGGACCGCCCTGGAGTTCTGTGGAGAGACTTGGAGCTCTCTCTGCACATTCTTCCTCAGAATAATACAGGACACGTCATGCTGATGAGGTCAAAAGAGAATGGGTTCCCTTAAGAGATGTCAGGTCATAAGTCCCTCTGTACACCATAAAGCTCTCTACAGTCGCCCCCAAAATATGAACTTTTGTGCTAAGTGAGTGCAACAAAAATATTTAAACAGATTTTGTAATTTTTGCTTTTGTGTTTCGGAATTTGCTTTATTTTTCTTGGAGGTGAGGTTCAGAGGCTGTTTCCTGCAGCGTGTATTTCCATGGCGCACACAGCTATGTGTTTGAGCAGTGAAGAGTGTTTGAGCTGAATGAACCAGAGTGATAATTTCAGCGCAATGAACTTTCTGCTGAATTAATGGTAATAAAACTCTGGGTGTTTTTCAGAAATACATTCCAACATTGCTTGGTTTCTCTGTGTCTGTTCCCAAATAAACTCATAAAGTAGTCCCCATATATCAATGGAAAAACTGTCTAAATAGCAACTTCTAGTTCCCCACCCTGCTCAAGTTATGTCTTCCCAGAATCCTTCTTTATAATTGTATCCATTGGTCTGTGGTGTTTGGTGCTTATTGAAGCATAATAATTAAGATCCCTGTTTTCAGGTGGGATACCTGGTACATGATGTGATTAAATCATTTGTCAGGGACTCATAGATGGTAAGAGGGGAGGTAGGATTGGAACCCAGGAGTTCTGACAGCTGAGTCTGCAGGGTTGAGGAACCTCTCCTACTGATGCATGTCAGAGATGCCCATTCCCTCCCCAACCCGAAGGACCCCTGCCTTGCAAAGCTCATTTCTGGAGAAAAAATGAGCTTCATTTCTTCATTCTTCATTCTTGGAGAAGGAAGGCCTAGTTAAGTACAGTGGCCCATGATAAGGGCTGTAAAGGAAGGGGGAGAGGGCTATAAGGAAAACCAGAGAGAGGAGGCAGAAACTGCTGTAAGATCTGGGCTTGAGTGTAACAGGGGAGGTAATAGTGGAGCTGGATTTTGGAAAGAGTATCTGTAGGAATAAAATGGGGCAAAGTGGAGGCACTTTAGGCATTTGATAACATGAATGAAAGTGAATAGATGGGAAGTTCCAGATTCTGGGAGAGGTCAGGTATCTGGGATCAGATGGGATGCAGCGATGAGACTGCCATTATTCATTTATACGTTAATATGAAGGATCTGAAAGTTGTATTTTAAGAGTTTGGGAGAGAGGATGAACTGTCCCCAATGCCTTGTCACAATTCCACAACCAGGGAAAAGAGGAGCAGAAGATGATGAAAGCACTGTTCTTTAGCATGTCTGATGGTGGCAGGGAGGAATGGCAGGTGGGGTGGGAGGAAAGCCTTTTACATTCACCAACCTACTGGGATGCACACTGAGGATGTCAGAGGCCAATCCACAGTGCCACAGTCGCAGAGCGACGTTTGGATGTCATCATGATCATCAACAAAACGAACACTTATCTCTTATCTGCTATGATCAAGCACTGTGCTAAGGCTTTCCCATGGATGGTGCATTTATTCATTCACTCACTCATTCAACATATAACTTACAGGGCACTGACTCACGCCAGGTTGTGTTCCAGGCACCAGAGATACAGCCACGGATGTCCAAGAGATGAGTGCTCTGCCCTCCCGGAACAGTGGGAAAAGTGATGATGAGTTCATGATTACACATGAGTTAAAGACTATTAAAGCAAGGGAAGGGGACAAAGTGATCGAGGGTAATGAGCTTTAGATGGGGTGATCAGGAAATGCCCATCAGGAGGTGACTTTTGAGCCTAGACCTAAAAGGAGGAATCAAGCCAGGAAACTCTCCTGAGTAAGAATGTTCCAAACAGAGGGACCAGTCAGAACAAATGCCCTGAAATCATGGTTAATCTATTATTCCATCTTATTTGCCCCTTCTCTATGCCAGGAACTCTTCCAGACGTGAGAAATAGCAACCAAGGAAAGAGAAAAAATCCCTGTCTTCATGGCACTTCCATTCCCATGACAGGGATCATGATTGGCGTGTCGGAGAAATGTCCAAGAGGGTGGGGTCACTGGTCACTGTAGGATGGGGCCTGGGGCCTGACCTGTGAACCCTACCACCAACTCCAAGAGCACTGAAGCAACATTCCAGACCCTCCCCAAGCTCCTTCAAGTCACACCAGAGAAAGAATATTTTCCCTTAAGGTCTACACAGGCTTTAGGCAGCCTGTGGCCCCCTCCTCCACATATATAACATAGCCGTGAGATAGAAAAAGACTGATAATCCCCTCCAGCAGTCATTCAACAGTCATCAGGTTTGTTATGGGTTGGCATGAACATTGGAGAACAGACCCAAAGCCTCCTTAAACTCCTCCAGGCCCACAGTTGCTGGTTCGAGTTCACTCCTGGCCTCTGGCCACTGGCAGAACTGGAAGGAGTTTTGCCTCTACCATAGAAGAGTGACCTGGATCTTGGCACAAAGTTTGCTTCTGCTGATAGATAACCAGTCTCAAGGCTAATTATTTAATCTTCTGAGCAGAAATGAGCTCATCTTGACAATGGAATCATGAAACCCACCCACTGTGAAGGGTCCTGAAACACTAACAATATCTCTGAATTTCTTAATACTATGCCAATAGTTAGATAATAGTTGTTCAACACCACTGACCATTTAAAGTCCACAGCAGGAGACTGAATTGTAGAGGGAAGTCAAAAGTCCCAGTGAAAACTCTCTAACTGTGGGAGGTTTTTGGTTTTGTTTGTTTGTTTCTGTAGTACAAGTGGCCAGGAGCCACCCTTATGGATCACCCACTATGTGTCAGTGGTTTTGCTCCATTGTCTCATGAATCCCCCACAACTCCATCCAGTAGAAGTCTCACCCTCATTTTCTTGATGAGGAAAGTGAGGCTGAGAGAAGCTGAGGAACCTGCCTGGGTTATGAAGTTATGAAGTGGCAGAGCCTATAACGAGAATCCCTGGCCTGGAGGCCCCAAGCCCTTTCTGCTCTGAAGTGCATGATTTTCTTCACTTGGTGAGCGAAGAGTGACATTTATGGTCTCTGGATGTGGGCCAAACTTGACAATGAACAAGATCCATCAGTCCATTCCACATATATATCCTCTTCCTTGTCCTTACAGAGAGAAAGTTCTAGAAGTGAACACTTCCACTGCACTCAGCCTCTGATCATAGTCACATGCTGAGGGGACATTTTAAGAACACAGTAAAAAGAAATATGTAAATAGAGGCTCCACAAACTTTACATTGACTTTCTTTTTTACCTTTTATTCTTTCTTTCTTTTTTTTTTCTTTTTTTTTTTTTTTTTTTGAGATGGAGTTTTGCTCTTGTTGGCACGATCTCGGCTCACTGCAACATCTGCCTCCAAGGTTCAATCGATTCTCTGGCCTCAGCCTCCCGAGTAGCTGGGATTACAGGCACCCACCACCACACCCAGCTAATTTTTGTATTTTTAGTAGAGATAGGGTTTCAACATGTTGGCCAGGCTGGTCTCAAACCCTTGACCTCAGGTGATCCACCCATCTTGGCCTCCCAGAGTGCTGGGATTATAGGCATGAGCCACCATGCCTGGCTACATTGACTTCTATTCACCTTAGTGCTACATATTTTCTCCCTGAGAACTTTCTGGATATGAAGTAGAGAAGCCACCTTTCTCTGTGTGTGTGATCTTTAAGATATGACTTGTTTTGACAGCAAAAGATGGAAATTTTTAGGTAGGTAATATGTGCTGAAGAATAGCATATTTGTATCCCCTAAAGCCACTCGGAAGTGGGAATGTCTCTCTTCCCTTATAAAACCATATCTCAGCAGAAAGAGGGCCTCTTCCCTCCAGCACCCCAGCTCTGTGTGGTAACTCACAGTCACACCAGTGCTGACTTGAATTTCTGGAATCCAACATATCTCACCTAGCCTCTTTCCCCAGCCTCTCTCTGAAGTTGTTTTTGGCAGAACCAGCCAAGAATGCCAAAGTGTTTGGGGTTGAAAGCTTTCAAGCAGATATGACGCCAGTCATCCTCTGATGTGTTGGTTTGCTTAATGTGCTGTGTACAATTCTCACCTTGAAATGTCTCACTCAAAAATACTTCATGCAACAATATCCGAGAAAATCTTTATGAGACTCCCTCTGAAGAATGGGAGGAATGGGGAGAAGATTCTAGAAGAAAGCTGGCTTGGGACCTGGAGAACTTGAGGTGGGCTATCCAGGGGGAGTTTTCATAAAGTAGTTGAAAATGTGTGATACACTTTGGCTGTGTCCCCATCCAAATCACATCTTGAATTGTAGCTCCCCTAATTCTCACATGTCATGAGAGGGACTCAGTGGGAGGTAATTGAATCATGAGGGGCAGGTGTTTCCCATGCTGTTCTCATGATAGTAAGTCTGATGAGATCTGATGGTTTTATAAAGGGTAGTTTCCCTTCACAAGCTCTCTCTTGCCTGCAGCCAAGTAAGACATGACTTTGCTCCTCATTTGCCTTCAGCCATGATTGGGAGGCCTCCCTAGCCATGTGGAACTGTGAGTCCATTAAACCTCTTTCCTTTATAAATTACCCGGCCTCAGTTTTGTCTTTATTAGCAGCATGAGAACAGACTAATACAAAGTGGGTAATAACACAGCAGAAATGAAATCTGTCTTGTCCACCATCGTAGCCCTGGTGCTCAGTGCATGCCCAGCACACAGTGGATCCTCCATAAATATTGGTTGAGTGCATGAAAGAGAAAGAGAGAAATCACTGCAGGGGCAATGATTATGGGCTCCAGAGTAAAAGAAAAGTGACCTGCAACAAGTTATTTCATCTCACACTTGCCATTTCTAAAATGGGTCTGGAATATGTATCCAATAAGAACTAATCACAATTAAAACCTAAATCTTGGTCCTTACACATATGTATTCTCATTAAATATTTGCTATAAGTAAGTGAATGAAAGAACCAGTTAGCTGACAGAGGAGATAAGAAGGCAATTTTCTAAAAGAAGGTACACCAGACTCAAGATAGGCCATGCCAAGGACCTGCCTGTGAGATGGAGCCTGGCTGTGTGCAGCATGATCATGGGGTTCCTAAAGCCTCTA